AGGACAGATGAATCTTCATAGGGAGGTAGCAGCCTCCCTTCATATCCTTCCTTTTCTTGCTGTGTATATTTCTAGAAGGCAGACCTTGCTCAGTTACCATAACAACAGTTGGAACATTTGTTATTCTTTACAACACATAGTGGTTCATGTTTAAATTTAAAAAGTTATTTTATGTGATGGGTCTTTTAACTGCATGTATGTATGTATACCATGTGTGTGCCTGGTGCCTGTGGAGGTAACTAGAACTCTTTGGATTCCCCTGGAACTGGCATTACAGATGGTTGTGAACCTCCTAGTGGGCTAGGACTCAAACCCAGGTTTTCTGGAAGAGCAAGGAGTTTTCTTAATCGCTGAGACACCTCTCCAGCCCCAGTAGTTCATTTTTTAAATGTATTCTGCTTCTTGATATTAAACTTTAATATTCTGCTAGCCAGTCAGGTTAATGACTAATTTTCTATTTTGGGGAGTGGGTTACGTTGTTCAACTAAAGGGAAAGAACAAAAAGAATAAAACAAGTGATACAGTTCTTGAAAACTGACTGAGGGCTCTGATCCTAGGTTACTTTATCCTTTGTCATTGCAACCTGCCATTGGGCATACATTTTACATGACCATAAATATCCTCAGACATACACCAACCACTGATGAAAGCCTCGTAGATAGGCAGGGAACAGTGGAGGCAGAGAAACCAAACTCTGTGGTAGCATAGGGATTTCTGGGGAGAGTGAGTCATCTGGAGATGAAAGGACAGTCCCTAGATGAGGGAAATCTACTAGGTCCTCCATGTACCAACAGTGTCAGGATCGTATGAGGACTTGTTTTAAACGCAGGCTCTCAAGCCCCAGTTCAGACCTACCAGATTAAAGTAAGAAGCTGTTCTTCATCCTTTTATTCATATCTAAGAGCATCTTTAGTGTAGATATTGGAAGCACTATGTGCCCCACTTATTGGTAAATCAAAAGAAGAACCAATATGTATTTGGTGCTGCATCCAGCATGCCTTGGGAATTGTAAGTTAATTTGTTAGATATCACAGGAGTGCTATTTCATAGCTAGAAATATTTGTGTTCCGTGCTAGAGTAACTAAGCACCATCTCCTAGCTTTATATTGGGATTTCAGGATGAAGAGTGGAGGCAATTGGGAATTAGGACTTTCGGTGGGAAGTGAGGCATAAAGTAGAAGGAAAATAGGGGATGGAATTCCTGGTACAGCCACTCCCAAATGACTTTTCTTGGCTTTATTTACAATGATCTGCTGCCAACTTTATTTCGATTTGTTTCTTTGGCTATTCTTCTAGTCCCCATCTCCCTTTGTTATTAATTTTTGAGGTTTATGGCTTTTTCTGATAATTCTATCCTCTGAGACAAAATTTCTTGGTTTCTACAATTTCTTCTGACTCCAAGAACTTTCTGTTTCTCTCTTCCTCTGACCTCTCTTGAAATTCCAACATATTTATATATTCAATTAACTATCCTCCATATTTAACACATTCAAAAGTATATGTGTCATTAATTCTTTTCCTTCAAAGTATTCATTATTTCCAGTATTGCTTGTGTTTTAATAACCTCATTTAGGATTGATATCCTTTCCTCAATTCAAGCCTCTTCACATGTAACTCAAGTTTATTTAACCCCATTCTTCAGCCTCAAATACCCTGCTATTTCCCCCAGCATATGTTACTATCTTATCCTTTAAATTATACTTCAGTGCTCCATAAAACCTTTCGGGGATCCCAGTAGCTATGCATAATACCTCCTACACATGAAGTCTTCTAGGCTATTAAATCCAAGACTGTCCAGGCATTGTATATCCATCATGTTAATCCGCCCTTTCTGTAATCTTGCCTTTTGAAGCAGATATTATCCTGTTTCATAAATGAGGGAAACTGAAGTTCAATGGTGGATAGTTGGAGTCTATTGCATTTGGCTTTTGTAAAATTGTACTCCCAGTATCCCTATTGCATGCCGACAACTCCGTTTTGGTTTGTCCCTTTGACTTTTCCATTTTCACCTCATATCATCACTATTAGTTTCTAAAGTACCAAAATCCAGAATCAAAGGTAGGTTTTCATGTTGTTTGAAAGGCTTTTTGATCTTAAGTATGACTAACCACAGTGAGCAGATCTGTGCACACAGCAGGTCATTGAATGCATGCTGGATGAAAAATGAATGTGTAAGGTACATAAATGTATGAAAACCTTGTAGCAAATTAAAATTTAATTCTGTATAGAAAAGGAATACATAGAACCAATTTTTATCCCAAATTTAATTTACTTTTATTAAAATACCCAGAAGATAGGAGAAGAGCATTCTTTACTCTGACAGGTATTTATGGTAAACGAGCATAGGAATCACATAGAGCTTCAAGCCCCGGTGGATTCATTATATTCATCACACTTCTGCATACACAACAGCCAGTTCTTGGCTCAGTGTTTGATAACTCATGCAGAAAGTAGGAGTGTAGAACCACATAGCATAGCTTATAAGTTAAAAGTAGATTCTCTAGGGAAAGGCTATATCTGCATTTGAATTTTGTTTTCATAGATGGTGTCCTGAACAGAGGATTGATATTCAAAGCTAACAAACTATAGATACTTGATCAGAATCTGGGAATATAGTTCAAACCATAAACCCTCATGGTCCTCTAGGCTTGATCTACCTGGGCTTATTGTACTAATTAGCAACATTCAGTTGCGACCCATCTTTAGTCCTTATCTTATCTATAAATGTTTATTTTACTAAGATTACTTTTCATATCAAGTTTACAGAATACTTGAGAGAAACAAAGTAGGGGGGATTTATTTTGGTTCATGTTTTTTTAAGGGTATAGTCTTTCTTAGCAAGGAAGGCATGGAGGCTGGGTTGGCTCTTTCTATAGCAGCAGGAGCATGGAGAGCTTGGGTTGTCATTAGAAGTGTGTTTAAATTTTCAGGGTCTGCCTCTAGTGACCTGTATCCTCCATCTAGGTCTGATGTCCCAAAGGTTCCATAAACTCCTTAAGACTGCACCAGGAACTGAGATCAAGTTTTAAAACACATGAACCTGTGTGGGGCATACCATGTTCAAACCATAACAACCAGTGACTAACAATTCTCTTTCCCCATTGAGACCAGAACTAGCAGAAATTGATTATTGTTCTTTGGAAGAAAACAAGATCAACGTAAAAATGAATCTTGTCAGAGAGCAGATTAAAATCTCCTTCCTCAGGGTTCTTTAAGACCATCTGTTTTTATGATAGCATTCTGTAAGTTCAGTATGAGTGAGCCCATATTAGTAATATGGTTTGATGGTTCTGAGGTCTAAAGGCCTGTTTCTGTAATTTATTCATTGTTATTGACTGAAAAACAAGTTTAATTCACTGAACCTCAGTTTTCTCATCTTTAAAATATGGGCAATGGTGAAACACAGCTTATTTAGTACAGATTGTGTAATATGGTAGGTGAGAAAACCATTTGTGAATAGTAAATCACAAGGTATTTGAAATACATTATAAAAGGTCCTGCTGGAGATTTCCAAACTGAGGTTTTCCTGTGCCTGGTTTTCTGTGGAGAACATAAAGGTTAGAGTCCTGAGCAAAGAAGTATGTCTTAGGCAGGACCTAGGGGATTAGAATACTTTAACCAAGTCAAAAGTACAGTGTATATTCATATGCATGTGTTCATATGTGTGTGATGTTCTGCATATTCATTTCTTGGCTGGACTGAGCATCCATTCTCTGGACAATGTATTATATGACAGGTCTATTGCACAGGATAAATAATCTACAGATGACAGTTTTTGTTATCTTTGAAATGTTTTATCTTTGGTCTTATGGAACTATGATTTCCTTGGGGAGACATTTCTTCTTCAAATAGGCTCATGGAGAAACTTATTTATAAATGACATATTCAGTAATTCAGTATAGAGGGAGTGTTTAAGTCTTTTTGCTAGGCAGGCCATATGTTCTCCAATTCTAAAATGTGCCTCTACAAATGCTGGGAAGACAAATAGTTAGAAGGTGGAAGAGTTCATGGTAAAAATGAATATATAACAGTGGTCAGTAACTAGAAAGAGGCAGTCTACCTCCCACTCCATCCTTAGCTATGTGCTTAAATGAGTACCATGACGATATGTGTCTTTTGTTCATGTGGTAATGAAATAGATGTTTGCTTTCTGTTGTGTAGAGCCTAGTCCTGTTTCTATGAAATTTGGTGACCCAGGTTAAAATCAAGGATTATGCATACCCTCTGCCTTACTGAGTGATCTTTAGTTTGTCGCCTCATTTCTTCATTATCAGTTTTATTTTTTAATCTACCAAATGAAGCCAACACAGACTCCCTAGTTATGCCACAGGCCAGTTGAAAAAAAAATTTTATGCACCTAAGCCAGGATTGAGTTTATCATGCACAGCACATCATAGGAAGCCGTACTCTTCCGTGATCTAGCTAAGTGGAATCAAGCATGGGTGAGGGTAGGAACCATAGGACTGGGGTCTATTATATTTGAAGAATGCCATACTCTCTTACAACTTGGGAAGGCATATAGTAGAGTTAAATAATGTACTACCAACCCTCAGTTGGTCAGTTTCAAGGAGGAGAGGAGAGGGAGAGGAACATTAAGAATTGAAAACAAATATGCCTGCATTTCATTTCAGTCATTGATACTAGCCTTTCTACTTTACAGATCCAGGGCTGCTTTAAAGCACCAAGGAGAGCTAGAATAGAGCTTTGTTTATTTGTTTTCATTTTGGGAAGAGGAGTCCATGAAAATAAATGAAAGCATGATGCTTTGTTCATATTCACATGTTGGATTATTCCATGCACTGGCTAATAGAGAAATGAAAGCATTGTTTGTCTTGTAGTCTGATACAGCTTGCATGTTGGTGTCATTTCCCCTTACCTCCACATCTCACCACTGGAACATGTGAGCTTTTCCATTAAAAGTAGAGCATTTGGGATGAGGGAATGCTTAAGCAGACCAGTCAGATGTATGGACTGAACACATTCTCATTTTGTCTCCTAAGCTGATCACTGGAGATTCCATCGTTAGTGCTGAGGCAGTATGGGATCACGTCACCATGGCCAACCGGGAGTTGGCATTTAAAGCTGGCGACGTCATCAAAGTCTTGGATGCTTCCAACAAGGATTGGTGGTGGGGCCAGATCGACGATGAGGAGGGATGGTTTCCTGCCAGCTTTGTGAGGGTGAGTGTCAACCTTCACTCTGCTCTTCTCTCATTGGCTGCCTAACCCTGGCTTTCCCTACACACACTCTTGTTTTACTCATTCCTCTCTTGGTGGGTTTTCTTTTGTCTTTTCATTTCTTTTACTCTTTCTCCCTCTCTGTCTCTTCATCTCCTTCTTTTGCTTCACTGGTACCCCTTTCTTAAATCTCTGTCTTTCTAATCTTTAGACCTTTCTTTTATCTCTTGTTTATTTTGGTTGCATTCTTTGCTGCTCACCTTTTCATAAGTCACATCCTATGTTTGATCCTTTTCTTTCTAGATTTGACATGGATGGTTTTGAAGTCTTTTCCCCCAACCTCTATGTAGTTGTGATTTTTTCGCCTTCCTTTTCCCTTTTCCCATCTACTTTCTTATTTTCTATATCCCCCTTTTTGATCCTTTCTTCTTCTAGATCCTTCTTATCTCTTCCACTCTTCAGTTTTCCTCTCTTCCCTTTTCTTTCTCCTAACATCAACTATACTTCTTTCCTTTTTCTTTGAAAGAAAGTGTGAACACCATTATGTACTGTTACAGTCTTCAGCTGTTAACGTCAGCGTATGTACTCCCTGTTCTCTAGGTGCAGAAGCTTACTTATTGTAGGTCTTCTTATACCAAAGTCAAATGGTTGGGATCCAAAACATGCTATGTATGGGAACAGGAAGCCTGTAAAAGTTTTGAAGGCTTTGGATTGATTGTTTGATGCTTTACCATAAAGAACCTAGACATTAATAATGGTGCTCTATGAGGCCTCTGTTTCCACTAGATCAACTTTCAGCAGGTTGCTGTGGGGGATTATCACTGACTATAGGTTCCAGCTCTTGGATTTCTTAGAGGCTGTTAGTTTGGATTTGTTCTTTGACTGTTGGAGGGGCCAGCTTTCCCTAACTGCAAAGTGGTCTTGGCATTTTTTTTGTCAAGGGGGACATCACAGTGAATAGGAGACAATGAAAATTTCTTTATGGAAACACAAGTAGCAAAGGGTTATGACCACCCTTGCTATAACCTATCACTTTCTCTCAGTTCCTTTTGGAATGTCCTGTTTTTCTTTTATAATTTTTAAAAGAAATTTTTTGAAACTTTCATACATGCGTATAATGGAAGGTCTTTATTCTTTTCAGTACAGAGGAACCCAGGGCCTCATACATGCCAGGCAAGTGCTCTACCAACTAAGCTCTATCACCATCTTTATTGTTGCTGTCTCCTCTAAGTATTCTGAGTCCCAAACAAAAGGTTAGAGGGGATTGGGATTTGGGAGATCGAAGGATCTAAAGGTTGGCCTTATGACATGTATTCTGAAGTGAGGAGAGAAGCATTGGAGTTACTTGGATTGCAACTTTACTAGTTCCTACCAATATGTTTTTTACTTTTTATTTATCTTTTTGGCAAGGTTTTCAACTGAAACATAGGGATCACAGCAGACTTTCTCTAAGAATTTAATGAGCTGACACATGCTAATAAAGATTTAATAAACTATTTGACAAGTATAAAGTAGTTGAAAAATGGCTACTTATGTTTTAGTTTTCATCATAAATATAGCTGTGATCATTTTTACCATCTTACTAGCTCTACCAAGCAAGGTTCACACATCAAAACTGGTCATATTAGTTGAAAGAGAAACCATCCTGCAGGGTCTATCAACTTATAAAGCACAGTTAACCAATTGATAGGATTTAGGTGTTGGCAAGACCCTGAAGCAGGGAAATGGATAAAATTGCCTCTTCTCGCCTTCTACGCTGAGTGTTTTCTAATGAAATATCTAATCCTTTATTCTCTGCTTATATAGCTTATTTTGTTAATGCCTTGAAATGTTTTCTGTGTCCCAACCCAGCTTTACTGGTTGATGAGTCAGTCCCTAGAGTATTCAGAATGAGCTCATCAATAACCACAAGACTTAAGAACTAATGTGACTCCCCGTGCACATAGAGCTTGTGCCTCTTGTGCTGACCACCCTCTCTTTTTAAAAGAATGATTAAACTACACTCAAATATTAATATGTTTTGTTTTCAGGGAGATAGACCACGGGATGAGAAGGAACATTGAACAAGTCAGGATGGCTTAGGGAAGTGAATGGGGAGGGTCAAGGTTTAGAGAATGACCATGAACAAGCACTGATGGTTTTAAGTCAAAGGTTAAAAGGAGTGGTATTTCAGGCACATATCCCTGGTAGCCATTTTGTATAGAATCACAAAGAAACAGATTAATAGAACTCAGAATCCAAATTAAACACCACCACCCCTTCCAAATCACCCAATCCATTTATGGTCTAGTCATCCAGAATAGACAGTTTTCCAAAGAAGACATGAAAATAAACAGTTAATAAATAATTTTTCCAAATGTTCAACATTCTCAACCATCAGGAAAGTGTAAGTCATTAATAAAACTGCTTTAAAATAACATCTCTCCCCAGTCAGAATGGCTAACATCACACATACACACACAAACAACAACAACGAACCTCAACAAATACTGGTAAGAATGTGAGGAGGAGGAACTCTATGCTGCTTGGGAATGTGAACTACGGAAATGAGTATTAAAAATGAAACATAGAATGATTATCTAATCCTGGCTATATACTTGTGTTTACTAGTTTTCATAACTGTCATCCAATACCTGACAAGAAGCAACTTAATGGAGAGTTGGTTCATTTTGTCTTATAGTTTGAGGGATATAATCCATCACGGAAGGGAAGGCACATGTTTTCATTTGCTTTCTGTTGCTGTGATAAACACCAGACTAAAATGCATTAGGGATGGTATTTCATCTTGTAAGTTTTAGGCCTTTATTGAGGGGAACCAGGACAAGAACTCATGGCAGGAACCTAGAGGCAAGAACTGAAGCAGAGATCATGAAGGAATGCTTCTTACTGGCTTGCTCAGCTTGTCTACTTAGAGAGCTCAGGCCCAAAGGCCTAGTGATGACACCACCCACAGTGAGCTGGCCCCCCACAACATCAATTTGCAATGAATAAAATACCTCAAAGACAAGGCCACAGCCTAGTCTGATCTGGGAAATTCTTGAGCTGAGATTCCCTCTTCCCTGGTGGCTCTAGGTCTGTTTTAGTTGAAAACTGAATCTAACTGTGGCAGCATGACAGCAGAAGCATGAGATAGCTGTTGTCCCCAGTCAGGAAGCAGAGAAAGATTAATGCTGATGCTACGTTAACTTTCTCTTTTATTCAGTTCAAGAGCCTAGCCTATGTCATGGTGCTGCTTACATTCGGGGTGGGTATCCTCTCCTCAGATAAACTTTTCTGAAGACTTCCTCATGTACATCCCCAAAAGTATATTTTCATAGAGGGAGACCAGCCACCATAATACCCAAGCACTCTGAACTCTACCACAAAGATATGTGCATATCCACATTACTATTGTGCTGCACTATTCATAATAGATAAAAAAAAATAGAACCAGTCTTAATGTCTTTCAACAAATGAACCCATAAAAAATGGGAAGAAAACATATACAGAATGAGATTTTATTTAAATAAGAATGAAATTTGCAGGAAAATGGATAGAACTAGAAAGCATTATGTTAATTAAAAAAGCCATACTCAGATACATAGGAACATGTGTAGTTCATGAAACTAGAAAAAGCACCATGGGAGAGGAAGAAGAGCTCTTAAGGGGGCTATGAAAAGAAAAAGAAGGTAGTAGAATATGTATGGCATGAAAGCAGAAGGGTATATATTAGAGCAAGGAAGATGAGCAGGAGGAGCCAGAGGGTAGGAGAGAGGCTTGGAGGAGGAGTGAATATAGGAATAAAGTATGCATGAAAATACTATAATGATACCTGTTACTTGTATGCTAAATAAAAGAAACAACTTTAAAAAGAGGGGAATGCCCCACTAAAATTCAAGCTAGCTTAGTAAGACTCATTAATGATAAGGAAATTAGAATTTTCTTTTTAAAGAAAACCTAGATAAGTGCTTCTCAATCTGTGGGTCATGATCCCATTCGAGGTTGCATATTAGTTATTTACATCACGATTCATAACAGTAGCAAAATTACAATTATGAAGTAGCAATGAAAATAATTTTATGGTTGGGGTTACCACAACATGAGGAACAGTATTAAAGGGTCACAGCATTAACAAGGTTGAGAGCTACTGTTCTAGATGCTTTTATGTTGTAGCGGGTATATAAAAATGTTGGTTATTATGTTTCTACTAGAAAGTATACAGTGTAATAAAAGACACAGATGTAGTTAAAATTTTCTAGTAGTCACAAGAAAAAGTAAAAAGTTACAAGTGAAGTTAAATTTCATATATTTCAGTATATTCAAAATATTATAGAATATCATACAATATCACTATGAAATTAATAATTATATTTTATTACATTTTTGGAAATATGGTATGTATTGTATATGTAGTTGATATCTCAATTTATATTAGTCACATGTCACTAATTATTACTTTCTCAATAATACAAGTACAAGTCTAGAGTGAATAGTATCGTTACAGACTTGCAATATTAATGCAGAGCATAAATTATAACTTAGAAGTCTAATATTTTCTACAATATCAATGTTTATTCTTTGCATATTTAAGGTAGTATCCAATGTCTGCTTCAAATTGTACTCTGCATGAACTTTTTTTCCTTTGTGATCTCTTTTGTTGTTTTAAGCAGAGTCAAGTGGTTTCAGCATCACTATTGGGGACTATTGAGGAATACCATGGAAATGTAGGTGTCAGCTACAATGCTGTTGCTAGTTAAAGAAATGATATTAGGCTGTTTAATGATTGATAGTATTATTGGCTCCAAGAGAGACCTTTTAATTCTCATGAATATTTATGCTTGCGTTTAAATTTATAGTACCATTGTGTTATAGTCGAGGGATTCCATGATGAAGTTACTAAGTTTCTTTTCTAGTAGATCTCAAAAATTAGAATTACTATGTCCGTTCTTTTATAATGGTTTTAGGTGATGGCAGAATGGTATTGTGAAAGCCAATACTGCCTGGGTTAGAAAGTGCTACTAGTG